AAGGAAAAAACAAAGGAAGGAAGGAAGCAAGGAAGGATGGAAGGAAGGAAAGATAGGAGGAAAGACAAGACAAAAATACTGTACTTCCAAAATGCCAATATAAATAAATAAGGCTTTTTTATTTTATTGCTATAAATTCATGCATCGAAATGAAAGTTTCTGTTAATTTACTAATTCAACCTGAGAACCGACCCGATGGAGAACTTTCTCTCACCTTCAGGTCCTCAGGGATGAAGACCTTTCTGGCTTTCTTGATCATCGGCTGTGGCTTCAGCTCCTCCGCAGAGAACTTGCGTTTCCTCGGGTCGAACATTTCCTGACCAGGAACGCTGGACAGGGCCAGGTCTGCCGGGTCGGGCTCGTAGGTCACCGGGACCTGGATGGACTCGGGATCGATGGGACTGGGGGTGTCTCTGGCAGAAGGCAGCGCTGAGAAAAAGAAAAGAGCAATTAAGAAACAGGAAGTCCACCATGTTTGCAGCAGTGCTGTGCTCCTGCTGACCAGCAGGGGGTGCTGTCACACCAGAGAACTACCCTCCCCCCTCCAACAGAAACTACAGCAGGCTTTTCCCTCAGCCGCTGATCCGCTGGCGGCTCGTACATCATGACCCAAATTAACGAGCGGCAGCCGGTCAGAGCCGCTGACCTCACAGCCGACGTGTGAGCGCTTAAAGAGTTCTAGATCTGCCGGGCCCTGAAGGAGAACCGTCTGGAACAAACAGTTCTGAGGGGAACCCATCCGAGTCCTAAAACCAGAAACATCTCTGGATGTCGGCTTCCTTCAGCTCCTCTGCTTTAGTCCTTCCCGTTTGGGGATGAAACTTTTCTTATTCACATTTTGGCTCTTAAGTAAATTCAAATGAAAGGAAACCGACCTTCCAAAAAGGTCGACTTTAGTCTCATTAGTCTACAGAACATCTTCTCAAAGAGGATCACCGTTATGTTTCGTGGCGAGACCAGACCGAGGTCTTTTGGGTCAGAGGTGGTTCTCTCCTTGGAAACATTTCTGATCAAACTTTCCTTCTGATCCAACACATCTTTACAGGTTCTTCTGGGTTCTTCTTGGACCTCCTGGATGAGTCACTGACCCTCTGATGGAGTAATGTTGGATTGGCCTCTTCTAGGAAGGTTCTCCATGAGAGGAGGATGGTTCTCAGAGGCACCAAAGGCTTAGAAAAGGATCTGTGTTCCTTTTCAGACCGATAGAGGACAGGTTCTACTTATTTATCTCTTTTAAATGGAACCAATTATGTTTTTCTCCATTTATTTAGGTTTTAATCAAAGTTCCAATTATATTCAGAACAGATTGGAGCTTTTTTCCTTCTATTTATAAATGAAATCACTAAACTGAAGAAGACATGACGAGTCGGGTTCAAAGGTCATTTAACAAGGAGGTGAAAGGTGATTTAAAGTTTCTGCTTTTATGAATCAACAACAGCAAACAGCTACAAGCTTTATACAGAAGTTACTAACTCTAATTTAATGTGTTTTAATACTCTTTAAATGCTCTTAGAAATAATTTTAAAGCCGTCAACAAGTACCATGTTCCCGTTCTCTAGCTTCTTTTCCAAACATACAATCTTTTTTTAAATACAGCATTTTAAATGCCACTATAATCACATTTAATACATTTTAATGCCAATTAAGGCCTTAATTTAAAAAAAATAATAATTTAACGACTTTTAATGATTTGAATGGAACCCAGAGTTAATGAATAACTGCTGTTCTGATCCGTTTCAGGTTCAGGAACTAAACCAGCAGCATTTCTAAAGAAGGAAAAGGTGGAACCCTTCCTCCTAATGGTTCTTGTCTATTGGTTAGAGTTCATAAAATCCTCTCTAGGGGAGGACTGAAGAGTCTCTGTAGGCAGAGAGGCGACCTGGAAAATAAGCCGATTTAGATCTGACGGTTAAAAGGAACGGAGACCTTTTAAAGCAGCTGGAACCAACGGCTCGGGTCAGAACACAGAACCTCCAACAATCATGGATTGGAAAGGTTTTAATGTGGATCCAGCTTGACGTCACGCTCAGTGATCTTTGTGTGATTGTTATCGTCACTGTGAGCGATGAACTGCTGAACTCTGAGCTGGGGGGGGAGGGGCTTAGCGTCTGTTTACTGTAAATAACCTGGAAGACCGCAGAGGAAGAAGCAGTTTCTTCCCTGCAGAGCTTTCATACGACGGACGCTGCTTTTATTTGCATCTAGTGGTTTTTAAATCGTGAGAGAAAATAAATGTTACTCATGTTTAATGTAAAGGAAATCTTATTTTACTGATAAAGTCCATGAATTTGGTTTTTTTTTTTTAAGTATAACATGAAAAAATAAAACCCATTTTAATGTCATTCCTCATTTTGATGTTAATCCTACGGAAGAGAATTAGGGCCACTGCAAAAAAAAAAGTTTA